CCCTCTAAAACCTTATATATCGATACAACTAACACGACGTACCAAGATACAGGTCTATAAAACAATCATACGACCCGTTGTGATGTATGGAAGCGAAACGTGGACGATAACAAAGGCAAACGAAGAGAGACTATCTGTTTGGGAAAGAAAAATCCTAAGGAAGATCTTTGGTCCTGTGCTGGATAAAGCATCAGGACAATATAGAATAAGAACTAACAAAGAGCTCGAAGAACTTTACCCAGACGCCAACATCACAAAAGAAATAAAGTCCAGAAGAATCCAATGGGCAGGACCCCTCAGAAGACATTCTGACGAGCGAACAGTAAGACTGGTGTGGGAGGAAGTCCCAACTGGAAGGAGACCACGCGGACGCCCTCCTCTCCGGTGGCGAGATAATATAGCAGGAGACCTAAGCACTATGGGCGTGGAGAATTGGATGGAGGTTGCTTAAGACAGAAAACAGTGTAGGCATGTTGTCAAGTCGGCTAAAACCCACGAAGATTTGTAACGCCACGGAGTAAGTAAGTAAGTTATGCTAAAATCAAAATTATATCGGCATGAATTCGAACGATCCACCAATTTAGCAGAGTTGCAAGAAAAAATTGTTCAACTCAATATTCGGATAGATTCGGATTTTGTTTAGCGCAAAATGGTGGTTTGTTCCAACATTTAATTGGTTAGAGATTTTTTTTAAAAATGCCTTTAATTTTAATTTAATTATTTAGAATAATTTTTTTAGTTGGTTTTTTTCTTATAAAAATAATATTTATATTTTGTTAAAAGTTAATTATTGTTTTATTTCCCAAGTACCACAAATATTTAATGATATAATCATGAATAATTCAGTAATAGCTCAATTTCAAGATGTAATCATTATCCCCATACTCAAACAAGGGAAAGATCCTAATTTCGTTCACTCATATAGACCTATCTCACTTATGTCTTGTGTACTGAAAACTTTGGAACGGATGATTACACATAGATTGGAATGGTGGTTAGACAAAAAGAAGTTACTTATAGAGAAGATATAGACTTAACAAGAAGAAGTTATAGAAGGAGCATATGATAGTATTTGTCTCGATATTTTAATGGAAAAATTAATAAAAAATTTTCTTATACCACCACTTGGTAAACACTATTCTTAACTTTTATTCTTACAGAAAAATTTACCTGAGAACAAACAATAATAAACTTATAGGTCCTCGTTATAATAAACAGGGACTACCGAAGGGATCAGTTTTAAGCCCTCTATTGTTTAATATCTATACTGCAGATTTACATAACATTTCCATTAAAAATATCAGCTTTAAAATAATACAGTATGCTGATGACTTTCTTATATATTCTTCTAGCAAAAGATACGATAACTGCATTCAAACTTTAGAAAAAATACGTAATAGATCCAAAAATTGGTTCAAACAAAATGGGTTTGAAATTGCATCAAGTAAAACAAGTATTAGTATTTTCACTAGACACAATATCCCAAAACTAAATCAGATAAAATTGAATGGGTAAATATTTGGGAATGATTCTAGATCGCAAGTTAACTTTGAAACTTCACGTTGAGTTTGTTGGATAGATGTCAGAAGGGTCTAAATTTCCTCAAATCAATTACAAAAACATGGTGGGGTGCAGATGTGGAAACTTCTTTGCTTTTCTTCCAATCTTATATTAGATCAATGGACCGCAGGAGTGTGACGTCACATGTCATTATTACTTTCCAAACAAACGTTGAAATGTCAAATCTCAAGACTTTTTAATTCCTATAAAGTTAACATTTTGCTTCCTCTGCTGCTTTTTCTTGTAAGTATAGTGTTTTTACGATAATACCGTCATAATTCAGAGTTCTATTTCTATGAAATATGGTTTAAAAGTTTAATTAAAGAAATTTTAACCTTACTTTATTGATACTTTCATTTTATTCCTATTAGCATAAAACAATGTGCTTTATTATTTACACAACCTTGTAAAATTGTTGTAGTAACTATTAGAATACTTAAATATTGCAAAAAGCGGAAAGATTCTATAAAATAAATGAAAAAATAACGAAAAATACAAATTATCCACACTAAACAACGTTTGTTTGGAAAGTGAAACTGGCAGATGTCAATCAAATCTACGGCATCACTCCTGTGGTCCATTATCGATTATGGATGCACATATGGTTCAGCAAGTAAACATATTCTGAAAACAATAGATGTGTTTCAAAACGCAGTATTGCGTATTTGTTTGGGTGCCATGAAATCGACGCCTATTAATGATCTACATGTGGAAGCTCTAGAAAATCCCTTGGGCTATAGAAGAGAATACCTCAGTCAAAAGTTTGTTATTAATATACAAAAGTGTAACACTACTCTCTACTCAAATATCAGAAAACTGAACGAAGAAGATTTAACTAATCGATATTGGAGACTTAAGAAATCACCTTCACTTTGTGAGGCTTTTAGAAGCCTGACAAATTTTGATTATGACTTTAAATCAGAGGATAATCTTAACATCGAACATTTTTATTCGTGCTTGCAACCCATTACTGTGATACAACCGAATTACCATGTAAATTCTTCTGTTAGCTCGAATATTTTGAGGTCCTGTTTATCTAGTCTGTCAGACTCTTTAGTTATTTATACGGATGACTCAGAGTCTATTGTTGGTACTGGGTGTGCTTTCTACATTCCATCAACTAATACAGAAAAGCTTTGTTGACTAAATCCTAGTTTTGCAATCTTTAGTGCTGAAGCTGTAGCAATATTTGAAACATTAAGATACTTTGAAAACACTCAGAATACATCTGTTACAATAGTATCTGACTCATTGTCTGTTATGTTAGCCATTGAAACTTTAAATTTTCCTAGTAATAACTCTGTCTTGTCCTTCAAATTAAAAATCTTGTTTATGACATTTATAAAAACCCAAAATTTAAAAGTAAGCTTAATATTTAACTGTAATTAGAATCCTAACCTATGTTTTACCCCATTTGTTATTACCATGGACGTATAAACATAGATGGACACAGCAATAAGATACCTTTAACACACAATGATTTGAAGCTTCCATAGAATGTGATGCTTCCGCAATGAGCATAAGCGTGCTTGAATTTTTACTCGCGGGTAATTATTCAGATTTTAAAAATTGGAAGTAGTAATAACGTATAAAAACACGTTCAAAGAATTTAAAAAACGAGAGTTCTATTAACAAATCACGTCTTTATATAAAAATTAAAATACAATTTTATTTGCTTTAAAATTAATACAATAAAATATAGTTGAATTCAAGTTAATTTTTAATAGGTATCAAAATACTGCTACAATAAAAAATCTTTGTTTTCTCCTAAATTTGCTACCAAAATGGTTCGATCGTCAATATTATTTGGAAACCTACATAGAAAAATAAATGAGTTTTATTCATTTCACTAATTTCTTTGCATCCATGAGAAATATTAAATTAAAAAGGTACTAAACAGATCTTTTTTAATCAGATGATGTCTACTTACAATTTAAAAATGTCTACTAATTTCATGAACTTATATCTTATTCAATACATTAATGAACATGAATAAACCCAATGGTACGCCTATTAAAATATAAACAAACACGCTTCCTCATTTCCTCATCTTAAATAATGTAAATTGTATGTACTTACAAATGAAATGAGAGATCGGGATGTAAATATTTCGTTTATTTTATTTCACTTTTCACAAATATAACTCAACATACAACCAAAATATCGAAAATAACTTTTACTAAAAAGTAAACAAACATGGAACAGCATTTGAAGTTTGACGTAGATCCATAAGACAGAGAAATGTAAACAACCGTTGCCATTTATAAATAGTTTTCAGTGCTTCTACATATAAAATAATTGATTGATATCTATTATACGCTATTATTAAATGATAATGCACACTATGTGCATACTTTATATTTTGATTACAATTAAATATATTAATCTAACCAATAAATTATTATTTTGGTTTGATAGCACCTGTAGAGTATAAAATACGGAGTAATATTTTCAGCGACTCGCGAATAAGAAATTTTAAAACAAAACGTGACAACAGTTGAAGGTGCTGAGAATGTGAACTATTCAAATAATTTTGACTTCACAATTTTATGTAAATAACTGAGTCCATCTGTGTTTATACGTCCATGGTTATTACCTTTTATCCGTGACCTAATCTAGTTTGTCTTAAAAGTAATGTCTTGATGGGTCCCTAGACGAGAAACGAGTGTCCGTGTTTTATCTCTATTCTATCCTTAATAATAATTTTAATACTTAAAATTTGTAATGCTACTTAAGTTTGAAATTTATATTATCTTTTTATATTATACTACACAATCTTCTTTCTGGGTAGAATATTTTCATGTTGTGACTGGCTGTATGGCACTTGCCTATGCCATTTAAACAAAACAAAAAAGTATCACAGCTAAAAATCTACAATAATTGCATTTAAAACTCGAATATAAGTGTTCGAGTTTTTCTTAAGGTTTACCGACGGAAAGTTGGTGACAAAATAATTTTTTGCAAGAACTAGTTTACAAAAGTTTACAACTCGTCAGGGGAATAATGTGTTGTTGCCACACATAAATTCCTTAAATCAATGTTCTTTGTTAACTAATTAAGTAATTGATAGAATCGATCAGAAAATAACAATTACGTAGCTACTTTATTTGGGTTTTTTGGGACAATATTAAGTTTCATTCTACAATAAACTGTAGTGGATGTAAATATTATTTTATACTTATGTATCGGATTAAAATTTTAGAAGGAAAGATGTAACAGAAATATAGCAACAATGTTTAAAGGTCATATCTACTCCTTCGAGATGGTGACTGCCTCTCACTTCTATTCAAATAATTAAGTGTTTTATTGTTTCACATATTGAATAACGTATACGGTAGTTGAAAACTATAAGTAAGGATAGTATATTTTGGAACATACTATACATTCTGCTATTATTTTATTGTAGAGATTTTTAGTATAATAAATTTAGTATAACATACTTGGAACTTGTATCGCTGTTGAATTCTCTTTTTTCTTCTGAAAGCGAAACTCGCCAACCATATGAATTATCTCTTAAAGCGTTAATCGCTGCTTTATTACACCTAAAAACATATTTACATCAAATATATCGAACTATATTTTTTTTAATACTTACCTATTATTTTCAAAATAAACTTTTGCGTAAGTGCCTTCAGGATCTACGTATATCTTTCTAACTTGGCCAAATTTCAAAAACTCTCTCCGGATAGAACCCTAAAAATATTTTAATTAGATAAGATTTAGTTTTGCCTGTTTTGCAAGTAGTGGTTGCAATTTAAAATATGCGAATTTATTAGGCACTTTCGAGCAATGGTTTCATCTCCTTTTAGTCCATTCTGGATCTGTTTTAAATTGGAAACATTGTATAGCAGAAGGTAAAAGTTTCATTTTTCAATTTTATATAATACTTGACTAAAGAATATGCACTTAAAAGAAATTTAGATTGTCAACAAAAGAAATGCGTGATCAATGAATGCACACTTTCGAGGGGTTCTGAAGAAGTATTTACTGTTACAAAATTACGAATACTATAACTGATTATATAACAAAGCTTAATAAAAGTAACAAGTAGGTAGTCACAGTAACGACAATCAACAAGTCTAAGTAAAAATCCATAATCTGCAGTTTTAACAAATGTGCATTCAGAATCGTTGTATTCGTTTCGAGTCAGATTTTTATGAGTGTTAATTTGTATGTACATATTTTCGTGTTTAAAGGGAATTTAATTATATAAATATATTTTTTTCTTTCTAGCTGTAGTTACTTGTGTATTGTTAATTATAGTGTTATTGAATTAAACGTAGAACTGTGCATATTTTTAACCACAAACATCCGTTTGTCAGTATTGAGAATATTAAGCAGTTGATCAACCTTATTATTAGAGTTCGTGAAATTCGAGATACCTTCTATATTTTGGCCATATTTCTTTCAATATACCAGCAAAACAGGGACCATTAACCCATTAATGCCCACCGTATTTCGTCAGCTGACAAGTAAAACTCACTAACATTATTTGCAAAATTTTACAAAATCCCGGCAGGTAAAAGTCATGATTGCAGATAGTGAGTTTTTCTTGCCGACGGTTGCTCGCAAATGCTGTTAAATGCATATTGCGTTTTCATCGAAATTATTTACAAAATAAACATTTGAAAAGGGGGTACGTTTTTTACTTACAAACAATTGTAATAACTTCTATATTTTTAAAGCTACAGACTGGTGCGTATAATCATTGGATAGCTGGTAAAAAAAAACTCACATTTAAAAAAACCTATGATCAATAGGAATGAAATTAGTGACTATTTTTAAAAAAATCATATCTCTATTGATTATAAACATTAGGAATTTAAATTTGCACAAATTTTGAATGAAAATCTAAACTTTATATTGAAATTTATAGCTATAAAATTCATCCAATTTTTCGAAACTTACAGCCTTTCGAAACGAAGGTACTTTCGTAAGATCGACATAGGAACGTGGAGGGGAAACTGTCTCAGCTCCACGCTCCAAAATTTCGTCAGTCTCAGTGTAGTGGCTTTAAAAAGCACTATATTTATACTTCTTCAAGTAAAACATTTTGTGTATTTTGAACAAAAAAGTTTTAACTAAACGTATTTAATTATTTTCGATTGAAAATTGTAAGTAATATATAAAACTATTAAATGAATAATTAATTATTTTCAACTTGTATAATCACTAAAAAATTATGACGTTTGACGACGACAGTGATTCTGAAGATGTATATTTAGAGACTGATTTAATAAAAGAAGACAAACAACTTGCAACAACAAGGTTCAAAGCTGACAGTGAAGTCGAATGAATGAACCAAATTTTAACTTTTAAACCAATGTATGTAAAGAAAATAAAAAAAAGTAAAGTTCAATAAACTTTGCAAAATTTAATAAAACAAGTAATGAAAAAATCGACTTATTTTATCAAAGCAGTAAAGTAGATTAGATTAATATTGTATATCATATTTTTACGGAAAATAGAATAAAAATGAATATTGTTAATAATAAAAATGCAAACCATTATAATTATTATAAGGAATATAATAATATTATGTGTAAAAAATTTAATTTATAAAATATATAAATATTATTACATCATTAATATAAAATGAAAAAATATATATATATATATATATATCGAAATTTCTGGGAGGGGGGGAGGGCGTATCCAGCCAAAATAAGTTTTTAATCAATTTTTTGAAATGACAATAATGAAGTTACTATGGTAACTAATATTTCAACTCCAGAAATCTTTACTATAGGGAACTGTAACAGGTGGACCAGAAAAGACAGAAAAATTATAGCAGTCCCTCAACCAAACTTTGTGCAAATGTATAACAAGGAAATGGGTGGTATAGACTTATGCGATAAGTTAAGAGATTTATATAGGATCTGAATTCGATCTAAAAATGGCATTGGGTAATATTTAGATTTTGCTTGAATGAGGCAATAGTCAACATGTGGCTTCTTTACCGTAACATTGAGGAAATTTCTTTATTAGAATTATGTAAACTATTTGTAAAATATTGTAAAAATTTTAAAATACATAATGTTTCATGAAATATTGTGTCCTTAATTAACAAGCGTATGATATATATAAAAAAGGCAGTTACAAAGAAAAAAAAAACAAATAAATAATAAAATAATAAAAATAAATTTTGCACATTGCTATTAAAAACAACCTCTCTTTATTTGATCCTGAAGTTTTGATTTAGTTTTGATAAAAATTTAATTTTGGGCATTAATGGGTTAACAATATTTACTGATGATATTTATTTTCAAATAGACAATAATTTTTATAAACAAGACTTTAGCTAAGATATGGTTCCTCTATTATATCCATTATTAGTACATATATTTGTGGAAGAATTTGCAACAAATATTGTTTACAAACAGGATCACAAAACCACAGTATGGTGAAGATGTGTAGTATGATGTGTTCTCCATATGGACCATTGATCAGAAGCATTAGACGAATTTTTGGATGGACTGTAACTACAATTTCTGAATTTGTTAATGACAAAGGAATATAGAGAATATGTAACTGAAGTCTACACAAAATCAACACACAAGAGATGATTTTTAAATTATTCAAAACACAATATAAACTATAAATCACCATTTTGGAAGAAAAAACGCTGTTATACTGTGAGAGGACTACCATCATCCTACTTGCTAGTCAAGTAAATATCAGGGAAATAAGACAAATACATTCACATGACGTCTTCTCCACGTAAAATCCAGGGCGTGAGGTGCTGTATTCCCGTTGTCAGCTTCAGCTATTTGACTTGTCGTCTTTGTGTTGCGCCTGCGTGCTGGGCACTGAGTCCCATTTGTCCGGTGCGGCGAGTCGACCCTTGGTGTGAGTAGAACTCACATGGATTTGAATTTTTTTGTGGGTGAGATCGGTTTTTTTGAGAAAAAAATCAATATACTATCATTTGAAGGGGATTTACGTTACCCACAAATTTTAATTAAAAAACTGAAAAATTCCAAATCTTATGAATATAACTACATTCCAGTCTATCTATCTATCTAATTAGCCTTCTTAGGTCCATCTTTGGACATAGGCCTCCCCAATCCTTTTCCATTCTTCTCTGTCTGTCGCTACGGTCATCCATCTAGAGCCCACGTGCTTCTTGATATCATCTGCCCATCTCATTTGGGGCCTTCCTCTGCTTCGTTTATATTCCCACGGTCTCCAACTTATAAGAATTTTGTTCCATCGGTCTTCTTTTTGTCTTATATTGTGTCCGGCAAATCTCCATTTCAATTTTGCAGCTTCTTGTCTAACATTCCTCACTTTTGTTTTCTCTCTTATCCACTCGTTTCTCTTCTTATCCATTAGTCTTATGTGCAACATTTGTCTTTCCATTGCTCTTTGGGTTTTTATGATTTTGTCCATGTTTGCTTTTGTAAATGTCCACGTTTGGGAGCCATACGTAAGAACAGGGAGTACGCATTGATTATATACTTTGGTCTTAAGATGCTTTTTATATCTTTTGTTTTTAAGAATGTAGCTTAGTTTGCCAAATGCCGCCCATGCCAGTCTAACTCGTCTCTTGATCTCTGCTGTTTGGTTCTCTTTGTTAAGTTTTATAGTTTGACCAAGATATATATATATATATATATATATATATATATATATATATATATATATATATATATATATATATATATATATAATCCTTAACTTGTTCTATTTCATCTTGTCCGATTCTCATTGTGATGTCTTCATCTGTATTTGTTATAGTTTTGGTCTTGCTGTAATTCATATTAAGGCCTATTTTTCCAGCTTCTACGTCCAGTTCTTTCATCATTTCAAATAATTCTTCTTTTTTATCGGTTATCAATACGATGTCATCAGCGTACTTTAGATGGTTCAAGCGTTGTCCACAAATTTTTATACCTTTTTTTCCCATTCTAATCTTTTAAAAGTATCTTCAAGAGCCTGATTGAAAAGTTTCGGTGATATTGTATCACTCTGTCTCACGCCTCTACTTATTTGTAATGAGTAGAATACATTCCAATATTTATCACAATATTTGTAGTTGATGCAATAATTTCATTTCTTAGAGGAACATAGAGTTTCCAAGAAGCATCTCCAGCTTCCAGAAGCCGGGATTTTCACAATTCTTTCCCTTCGTCCACTATTATCCTTTTCAAAGTTTTCTTATGTCTGCCTACTTTCCGTCGGCCTTGAGAATTCCTATCCAACGCTGCTCTGGCAATGTCATATGACTACGAAGTGTGTGGCCCACCCATTTCTATTTTCTTCGCTTTACTTGCTTTATGCATAACGCATAACTTTTCATTTTGGTGAAAAAAATACAAATAAAAATACATCGTTCACAAGGCGAAGAACTCCATGGTTTTGTACAGAAGTGAAGGAAAAATGTGAAGAAAAGAAAAAAGCTTACCTACAATACCTAATATAGTGTACTACATACATAATATAGTATAATAGAGGCATACCATAATTACAAAACAATTAGAAACGAAACTCACGCACTTGTAAGAAAAATAAAAAATGATCACTAAGAACGCTTTTCGAAAGAAGTGGAACATGATTTTTACTGTGTGCAAAAGGAAATATGGCGCTTCATAAGAGGTCAAAGAACGTAACGAAGGTAAAAGAACTAATAGAAACAAAACATAGAAAAGGATACATATATTGATTACCTAAAAAAGCTCTACACAGAGGAAGAACACATGAAGCCAGAACAGGAAATACCAGAAAATACCACAAATGAAGAACTTAATATAAATGTAACTTGAATTTACATTTGAGTGATTAAAAATAGTTAAGTAAACCTGAAGAACAGAAAAGCAGCTGGTAAAGACGAGATACCAAACAAATTACTGAAATATTGTGGACCAGCAATGACAGAACAGTTAACAACATTCATTATCCCATTTACGGCTAAAGGTGAGTAAACGCAACCTTTATTGTTAATTTTTTTTTGGCCCGAAAATATATTTTTTAATGTTTTCTTTTTATTGAAGTAACATCTCAATAGATTGAGGTATATAGTATCATTTTTCTTTTGACAAAAATATTACTTTTTAAATATTTTAAGATTATTATAATTTTGCATAATTTAATGATTTATCCACATCTGCATACAAAAAATTTTTCCGATACTAATTATAAACTTAATTAATATTTTGTATTCTATAATTATAAAAATATGTTGAAATTTTTATTTTGCACTGTGCAAAAGCACTGTGTGCTGTAAACGTTATATTTGCTTTTTTCTTGACTTAAATCAGTTTGAAAAGTTCCTCGTGTTTATTTGTTTTATATTCCATATAAGTTGAAATGAGGTAAGCTAAATTATTATCATATGAATGCGTGTATATAGTAGTAGTAGTAGTGCATTTTTTTTTGTTTATTTTAATAAATTCTCGAAATATGAAATGAAGAGGGCACTAACTACTAAAGAGTTAATGGCTTTGTTAGAAGAAGTTCACTCACTTGATGTGGTTTGTGTGCCGCCGGAAACAGATGAAATTTCCGATGTAGAAGACATTGATGATAATATTATTGGTGAAGAAGGAATCAAAACAGATATTGCAGGTACATATGAAATACAATTGAATGGGAATTCTGACGATTCTGATGATGATATTCTTCTGAACCACAGATCAAAATGTCCAAAGAAAGAACCAGGCAAAAATAACAAATCCAAATTTGTCCCAAGTTGGGTAAAAACAGATACTCCTTCGTACTAGGCAGTAATTCAACATCAGTCTAATCAATATTTAGAAAATATAAAAGCCAACCATCGAGGCAAGTCACCTACTGAAGTTTTTTCACTCTTTTTTTGATAAAGAAGTAAGTGAGAGTATTCGATATTTTACAAATATTTATGCATCGCAGAATAACCGTCACGATTTTGAAATGAATGATACAGATTTAAAAAAAATTATTGGCATATATATATTATCTGGTTATCACACTTTGCCTCAAGTTAATATGTATTGGTCGAAGGATGAGGATAAAGAAGTGCACATTGTAAGAGAAAGCATGAGTCGACATAGATTTCGTTCAATCAAACAGAACATACATTTGTCAGATAACACCTTACTGAATAAAAATGATAAATTTGCAAAATTGTCACCAATTTTTGAAATAATTAACCGAAAGTTTGCACAATTTAGAGTCTTTGCAAAAAATCTTTCCATTGACGAGGAAATGTTTCCATATTTAGGGCGACATTCGTGCAAAATGTTCATCCGTGGCGTGGAAAACCTGTTAGATTTGGTTTTAAACTATGGTGTTTATGTTCTGATATTGGTTATTTGTTCAAATTTATTCCATATGGCGGAAAAACTGAGAAAACAGATAATAGTTTTAGCTTATAAACGGCAGTTGTTTTGAATTTATTTTCGATAGTTAAAAACCCACAGCAACAAAGTTTTTTTCTACAACTTCTTTACGACATATGCTCTTTTTGGACTATTGAAAGAAAACAGAAACTTGCAACAGAAACAGTAAGTGAAAATCGCACTGCTAAGTGTCCTCTAGAAGAAAACAAAATTATGAAAAAAAAAAAAAGGAAAGAGGTTCATATACATGTGCATTCGATTCCAATTTGGAAGTTTTGGTGACAAGATGGAACGATAATTCAGTAGTGACTGTAATGACAAATGCATGTGACGTTTTACCCCTTATGCAAACTAAACGTTATAACCGTAAAGAACACAAAGAAATTCTTATCCCTCAGCCTAATTCACCAATATAACCAATACATGGGTGGAGTGGATCTGCATGATAATGGCATTGCGAATTAACGTATTAAAATAAGAGGAAAAAAGTGGTGGTGGCCGTTGTTTACAAACATGATTGACAGTATGGTGGTCAATAGTTGGAAAATTTTTAAAATTGCGAATGATTCTAAAATTTCACAACTGGAGTTTCGTTCGAGATTGGTTCTTAACTTACTAAAATATAGTGGACATGCAGAGAATAGTGAAGAAACCGCTACATCATTGTCAAACTCAGTATATGGACGTCCATCTAAATTTGCTTTACCAGATGAAACTAGATTCGACAATATTGGCCACATTATAAAAAGAGACGATAATAGTGCAAGAAGAAAATGTCGGATGTGCAAAAGTAATACTATTTATTTATGTAAAAAGTGTACAGTGCATCTACACCCCGAATGTTTCGAAAATTTTCATCTTAAAATTTAATTTACAGTTAAGATACAATATGTTCCTTTTTTAAAAATTGTATGTGTATTCGGCCAAAGGTGCGTATACGCACCCACCTGTTTTTCCTTTCATGAGAAAAAAAATTCTTTTTGGTTGTAAATTAGTCTTAATTTATGTGTTTTTAATCCAATCTAATAAATCAATTATCAAATTTCTCTTTGTTTATTGTCTCGGCCCTTAATGGGTTAATAAAATTATAAAACACAATAAAATACTGGAAGAATGAAGAACGAGCGATTCTACTATTTAAAAAAGGAGATAAAAAACAGCCAGAAATCTAGAGAGGTATAAACTTGTTAAATACTAACGTAAAACTTACAACCAAAGTGTGGAAGATCGTGTACAGATGCAATATTCGTTATAAAGCAAATTACTGAGAAATCACTATAATAGACCAGCATTTCTGTGCCTGATTGACCTAAAGAAAGCGTTTGACAGAGTAAGACTTTCTCTTCTGTATAATAGAGAAGCTCCCTTAACTATTATAAAACCTATCGAAAACATGTACCAAAACAACAAAATAGAAGTTATAATAGACAACTTACAGAACCTATAGAAATAGGCAGCAGAATAAGACAAAGGGACTCATTGAGCCCCATGCTCTTCAATTTAATAATGGATGAAATCATCAAAAGCGTCAACAAAGGAAGAGGATACAGAATGGGAAGCAAAGAAATAAAAATACTCTGTTACGCAGACGACGTAATATTGATAGCCCAAGATGAAAAAAGTCTGCAAAGACTGGTCCACAACATCGAAGCAAAAGAATTAAATATGACAATCTCATCTCAGAAAACTAAAACGATTGTAGTCAGCAAAGAACCAACCAGATATAAAATAGTAATTCATCAGTATTGAACAAGTAATGGAAATAAAATACACACTGTCCAGCTATGGAGACCTAAACAAAGAAGAGAGAGATCAAGTACAAAAGGCAAATAAATAAATAAATAGTTTATTTACGGTTATACCAATTACAATAATTACAAGCATTAAATAAATCATATCATATTAATAGTTTTAGAATTCAATAATAATGTGTTGAAAATCAACACATTTGATATTTACAACATTATTTGACAATATTAAATCCAAATAACCTCCTAAAACATTCGATATTGTATTATTTTGAAATAAGTTAAAATAAGCAATAAAATTTGACATACACTCAACAGATTCTGTAATATTACCAACTGGTCTTGATCCTAGATCTTCATTCTCCCAAACTATGTTTGGTAGATTAAAATCACCCACTATATAGGACATTGAAAAGTCATTATTTTGAATAATATCTTCAGTTGCCAGAATAAAGTCCTCATAAACGCTTAATGGAGATGATGGTGGTATAGATACACAGACAAAAAGGATTTTTTGATTTGGTGTTTGCAATTTTACATAAACACTTTTAATTTTGGCTGATTTTGAAGTGATTACTGAAGAAACAAATTCCTTTTTTACAGCAACTAGAGCACCACCCAAACGTTTAGCTGTACTGGTATTTTCATTTCTATTCCCTCTGTATACATTGTACTCCGGAACTCCCAATTCTCCATCCTCTATACCATCATACAGATAGGTCTCGGTTAATAGTAGCACATCATAATCGTTGGCAATAACAGATGATGAAAAATCATTTAATTTGGTGCGGAGATCTCTCACATTTTGATAATAAACAGAAATTTCCGAGTTACTCCTGCTTGATTGTCGTCTATCTCTTAGTTTTCCGATAAAGAAACTCCTGAGTTAAAAACTCTTCTCTTGAAGTTAAAATGTCTAAAAATGATTCCTTTTGGCCAGAAATCACTAGTATTGACTTCATCATAAAATTCTATAGGTAGGCCTACTTTAAAAGAGCTAGTATTGCCCACGGTTTTTAGTTAGTTGCTCCACCATCACATCTCAAACCTTGAGGTTATCCAATTTTCTTTGTATATAATTCTTGATAATGTCATTCGTGACTGTTTCTGCAGCTTTTTCTATGTAAAGCCACATTTTGCTAGGATTCGCGGCTACAAAATTCCCGCACCTTTAGTCGATGTATATTTTTGTCTATTGTTTACATTTTGCGAGAAATTGTCGACATTTTTAGACATTAGACGTTACAAGAAAATGTAACGTACAGTGTATAAATGAATGGACACAAAATAGAAAAAAAAATAATGGAATAACCACATCAGCAGAATGGAGGAGATCCATGTCTTCAAAATAACAAGAAATGAGTCACCAATCGGCAAAAGAAGTATCGGATGACCGCGCAAAAGGTGGAGTAACAACCTTTCATAGAGATATTAATCCACCAATGAACAAGCAGAATTGCTTATAAAAAGGAAGAAGAAGCTTTTAAATTATGATTTTAATGTGTTTATACATGTGATGTGTGTGTGTTAATAGAACACACAGAAATGATATTTAAATTATTCAAATCACAACATAAAGTGTAACAGAATATACAATTGGCAAAAATACTTTAACAAATACATACCCGTTCATCTGCGGCACCTGTCAATTCTTGAAGTAGGCAAAACTGGTTGACACTAAAAAAATACAGTTAAAATAATTGTAACATGTCCAAAATGAATGTTGTATAAAGTATTTACAAAAAGCAATGCATAATATTAAAAAATTGAGTTTATACAAAGAAATAAGGTAATACATAAAACACTGGCCATTTAGGAATTAAAAACAATAAAAAAGCATCTATGTTATAGCAACAATGATGGCAGTTTTCCATTTTGCTATACCTTGTCTTATATGATGGATACTGTTTCGTTAGATATTGTTTTACCAATAAGTCATCAACACCAAATAAATCTATAATTTTCTGTAGTATAGTTTCAAAATTGTAGGCAATAACTTCCAATAAATGGTGATTAGCGATATTCTTGGTCTTCCAATCGTAAGAGTTACAGGTAATGCTACTTATATTGAAGAATTTTTATAAATTCAAGTACTACTATCCTCTCTCTATTAACAACCAGGAAATTGAGAGTGATGGAATTTGTACATCTGGACAGCATAATTAACGGTAACGGTGGTACACAACGTGATGTGCCGTTAACCATTAATAAGGCTTGTAATGCCTAAAATATGCTTAATAACATATAGAAATCTAGGATTTAGCCAACTAAAAAGAAATTAAAATCATCAACACAAATTTAAAAGCTGTATTACTATATTGCTGTCAAACGTGAAATATATCAGCACCCATAGTACACCAAATATGCAAAATCATTTGCATATTTTGACCTTAATTGAATTTCAAACAAAAATTTATGGACTTTGAAAATAAGGCTATTATCGAGCACAAGTTAATTAAATCTAGCCCAAGTACTTTCGCTTAAAATAGCATCTTCAGGGGCATTTCGTCAAAATAAGAACTATCCGGCAAGCATAGATTGTGGAAATGGATAATCATTATCCATCCAGATACTGACAGAGAATGTAGCTTAGAAGTAATTTTAAACTGTTTGTCCTCGTTTTAGTGTAGTGTTTTGTATAATTTATGTTAATTTTAATATTTCCACAATCTACGCTTGCCGGATAGTTCTTATTTTGACGAAATGCCCCTGAAGATGCTATTTTAAGCGAAAGTACTTGGGCTAGATTTAATTAACTTGTGCTCGATAATAGCCTATTTTCAAAGTTCATTTATTCGAGCATTCAACCTCATTTCATTTAAAAATTTATGGAACCAAACTAACCAAGAAAATATCATAAAGCAAATAAGACGAATAAAATGGAGAGCTGACACACTTCATAGCCAGATGACATTGCCAGGGCAGCGTTGAATAGGAATTCTCAAGGCCAACAGAAAGTAGGCAGACCTAAGAAAACTTGGAAAAGGACATTACTGGACGAAGGTAAATAAACGTGAAAATCCTGGCTTGAAACAAAGCGCTAGAGAGAAATAAAGTTCACTGGAGACACTTAGTAGAAACTCTATGTTCCTCTAAGAGGTGAAATTATTGTCAGTGGCGAATGATCCTTCTATCTACACATTCTTAAATTTCTGTAACCCACATGACTTTTTTCATTTTTACGTTACATTCCTTAATTATCTCATCCATGTATATTATAAATAGCATTAGACTTAATCCTCCTCATTGTCTCAGACTCTCGTTTTTAGTAAGTGATTTTGATGTTCTTTTTTAACTGATGACATAATTAATATTACTGTTGTAAATGTTTTTAATTGCCCTTATTATTTTGTTACTAATAACTCTCTTCTCTAATATTTCCCATAATTTTTGCCTTTTACTGTGTCAAAAGTCTTATTAAAAAGGTAGTTGAACAACCTTTAAAATGGGGTATCACTCAACACCCATTTCTATTAAAGATTTTGGGGGTTGTGTCTGCCCTCACTAGAGGGTTGATGTAATTTAATTGAAAATTCGTCTACAAAATGTTCCCCTCACAAATAAATTGGAAGTGGTACCTTTTCAAATTGACACACAGTATATCTTATCTACAATACAAAGTAATCAAACAATCTTGATTAAAGATCATCCAGGTATACATACCTACAAGTGCCCACTCAGATGAAGAAGTTGAATGGTTCTATCATGACGTTAACATTGCAATACAAGAGGTAACCACCAACTGTAATATACTGATGGGAGAGCTAAGCACCAAAATAGGCAACAAGCAGGATGATTTGGAGTTTCCAGTTGGACCTCACGGATATGCAGATAGAAACAAAAGGAGTAAAACTCTTACAGAATTGAAAAGCAGGCTATATTCCATGAAGACTTATTTTGAAAAAGCTCTCAAAGCAAAGTGGACCTTTGAGTGGACCCCAGAGCAAAATGGTTTTAACAAGAAATAAATGAAAGCACAGAACAAATATAACAAAGCTACATAATTTAAACAAAAGCATTTCAAAAGCTGTTATATACAAGTTAAAAAATGAATAAGGACATGTTATACATAAACAACAAGAGATAGTAAAGATCATCGAAGAGTACTATAAAACATTATATTATATAGTCGAGATAAATCATTCCAGAGGTAGAAATTCCATTAATATAGAATCAAGGGTCAGGGGAGCTTCCAGATATAACTAAAGAGGAAATTGAATTAGCCTTTTAAAAGGTATGAAGAACAACCAAACACCTGGAGTTTTGTAACTGAAATAATAGAACTAGGGGGGAAAAGAATCATAATGCCTTTTAAACTCTTTGAGAAAAACTGATCTTAGACACAGATAAAAGATCTACAGTGGTGAAATGGAACTGGGCAGGCCAGTGTCAGAGATGGTCTAAGAAAATTTTAGAATTGAGAACTCGACATGATGCAGATCATAATCAAGAACATCTCCAACAAGATGCTCAGACAACATCTGGTGACATCAAGTACATCCAGCATAAATGAATTCAAGGTGCTCAAGACTGGAAGCAATGGAACAATTTATGGGAGACCTATGTTCAGCAGTGGACACTTCTTCTTCAAGTGCCGTCTCCATCAATGGAGGTTAGCGGTTATGGTGGCAAACGTTTGTCTATCTTCAGCTGCTCTTAGGAGTTCCTCAAATCCAAGTCCTGTCCAGTTTCTGATATTACGTAACCAGGACAATTTTTTTCTTCCAATTCCTCGCTTTCCTTCTATTTTGCCTTTTATTATCAACTGAGGGATGTAGTATTTCTCGTTGCGCAACAAATGCCCTAAATAACTGGTTTTTCTTTTTTTGACTGTTCTCAATAGTTCTTTTTCTAAATTGAGTCTAGCTAGTACTTCTTCATTTGTTTTTCGTGCTGTCCAAAGAATTTTTAAAATTCTACGGTACACCCACATTTCAAATGCCTCGATTCTATTCAGGCTCTTTATTTTTAAAGTCCACATTTCGACTCCGTAGAGAAGAACAGACCAGATAAAACATTTTACAAGTTTTAATCTCAATTTAATATTTATATGTGTATCGCAGAATAGAACGCGCATCTTAAAGAAACTATCCCTAGCTTGAGCAATTCTCGCTTTAATTTCTTGTTCTGGGTCCAGCTTGCAATTAATCCAACAGCCAAGGTATTTGTATTGGTTTACCTGTTCTAAAATATTCCCGTTTATTTTTATAGGTAAGGGGATATTCTGTTTTCTTTGGCTCACCATTACTTTTGTTTTTTTTTTTTCGTTGACCTTCATTCCAAACTCTCGACAAGCATCCTTAAGGTGGTCTATAACCCTCTGTAAGTTTGTGTCTGTATCAGCCAGTAGGATAGTGTCATCTGCATCTCTTATGCTAGATATTGGTTCTCCATTAATTTTTATTCCTGTGGAAAGGTTTTCCAAGGCTTGCTTGAATAGTAGTTCCGAGTAAAGATTGAGCAGCATAGGGGATAGTATGCATCCTTGCCTTACTCCTTTATTTATACTAATATTTCTAGATGTATGATCGTCGATCCTAATCTTGGCACTCTGCCTCCAATATAAGTTCTTAATTAATCGGAGATCTTTACTATCCAAGTTGATGCTCTGCAAGGAATTTAACTTTTTATTATGGTTTACGCGATCAAATGCCTTTTCAAAGTCTACAAAACATAGAAAGACATCCTTTTATTGGTCGTAACACTTCTGCAGCAGTACTTGTAATGAAAACAAGGCCTCTCTGGTCCCCATTCCGTCTCTGAATCCAAATTGATCGTATCCAACTTCTTTTTCACACCTTTTGTATACCCTATTGTGAAGTATTTTTAATAGAATTTTAAGCACTTGGCTCATAAGACTTATTAATCTAAAATCTGCGCATCGCCTGGAGTTAGCTTGTTTTGGAATGGCAATAAAAATAGATTCTAACCATTCCTCTGGTATTTCCCCAGTATCGTAGATTGTATTAAACAAAATTACTAACAAATCAATGTTATTACTTTCGATCAATTTAAGTATTTCAGGATAAACTTCATCAGGTCCAGGGCTTTTGTTGGTCTTTAATTGTTTAATGGCATATTCCACTTCGACTTTTAGAATTGGCGGGCTTTCAGTAACATTATTTATTGTAATGTCTATTCTTTCATCTCGGAACAGCTGTTGTATAAATTTTTCCCATTCTTCTATTTTATCTTTGGTGTTATGAATTAACTCTCCGTTGTTATTTACCAGTGGGCAATGTTGTTTTTTGCGGATGAATGAAAATTCTTTCACCTTCTTGTACATATTAAAGTAATCATGTCTATGTTCTAATTCTTCTATTTCTTTACATTTTTCTTCGAGCCATTTCTCTTTTGATTCTTTTATTTTCCTTCGTATTTCTGTATTTAATCATTTGTAATCGCTTGTGTTCTTATTTTTGTATTTCCTCCTTTCGCCTATCATCTTTAGAATAGCTGTCATCCAGTCTTTTTTTGCCATTAATCGTGTATTTGGAATTTCTTCCCTTGCAGAATTGACGAGGATGGATTTTATTTGTTGCCAAGTTGTATTTATATTTTGGATATTTATTTGGGTTCAGTCTATTTCTGAGAGTTTTTCATTTAGTTTTACAGTGGTTTTATCTTTAATCTGTACATCTTTTAGTAGTTCCATATTAGGTTTGTTCTTCGGCTTTGCATTTTTTATTACTTTAATTCTTGTGCGAATATTTGCTACTACAGGGTTGTGGTCGGAATTTGCATCAGCACTAGGATATGTTTTTGTACTTATAATGGAGTTACGAAATCGTTGGTTGATTAAAACATAATCTATTTGATTTATTATTCTTTCTTTTGTGTGTAGCGGGGAACTCCAGGTGTATAACCTACGTTGAGGTAACTTAAACCAAGTGTTTGTTGCTATCATATTGTGTTGCTGGCAAAACTCTAATAGTCTGTCTCCTCTTTCATTTCGTTCTCCTAGTCCGTATTCTCCTACGATATTTTGGAATTTCCCTCTTATTATTTTAGTATTAAAATCTCCTAGGACGATGTTAATATCTTCTTTCTTTGTCAATTTCATGAGCTTTTGTAGATCTTCATATCATTCTTCTAGTATGTCATCTGGCTTATCTGCGGTTGGTGCATAGACCTGAATAATATTCACATTAAAAGGAGAACTCCTTATTTGCAACAGCATTGCTCTGTCAGAGAGTGGTATAAAGTTTGAAACTGCGTTACTCAATTCATCGTTTATTATTACACCTACTCCATTAAAATGTTTTGGATCATTGTTGCCTGAATAATAGAGTGTTTTGTTCATAATTTTTGTTGTTCCTGAGTTAGGCCATCTAACTTCACTCAGACCTAAAATATCTATATTCAATCTGTTCATTTCTTGGCACACGTTTGCTAGCTTTCCAGCCTCATAAAGGCTTCTGACGTTCCAGGTCGCTACTTTGATGTCATTGTTTGTTTTAGTTTTGTATTTGTTTTTGTTCCTCCCGGGGATTCTTAGCACCACCTGAACATTTAAGTTCTACCGGGCACTGGGGGCCATCGATTTAGTTCCATTTACCATCATAACTTTCTTGGGAAAATTAATGAGATGGTTTCCCATTGCCTTCCTCATGTTTTCTGTCAGGGTTTTCTCCCTTAACTGAAAAGGTAAAAGGTGGACACTGAAAGGTAACTAATGATGACAGCTATTTTGATGCCAATGTACTTTTGTCAAATGAAGTTTTTCTCAAAACTGCTAAAAAGTTATAAGGATCTCCTTAAAAAACTACACAAGATAATAAATTATCTCTAACATTGAGCTAAATGGGAAAATGGAAGCCTGTAAATTGGTACATGCCTATCAGAATATAACGCAATCAGAATATTACTTCCTTGCTAATGTATTTGGTCAAACAAATCCAAACTTCTCTATGATAGAACAGGAATTTCTCAAGAGTGGAAATAGCTCTATGGAGCTAGATAGCATGTATATCACTATTGAAATGGCACAAAAGTATGTCCCAACACCATTCATGACTAGCTTAATATTTTCTGTATGGCAGGGACATTTAGATCTGGTATGAAACCTTATACTGTAGAAGAATTCAGGTATAAGGACCTTTTGACTTAGTGGTGCTGTACAAAGTAGTGAAAAATAGGGCAAAACACCAATAATTGAGAAAAACTTAACTGGCTATAAATAAAATGCTTGAAATATTTAAAATCAATCCAGGCATTGTGTTGTACAGACAGTCACAATTATGACTATAAAGAAATAAATATTTTTGGTAAAGGTCTCCTATTAATTTTAGTGAAAGACACTAAAAAAGACATACTAAACATATCGGCTCATCAGTTAAAAAAGTTATTAAAGCTCTGCCAATTAGAAGTCATGCTGGACGAGTTTGATCAGTATAATAAGTTGTTACTGACTTGGTCCTGGAAGATAAACTTTGTACAGCCAAACCAAACAAATGAAGTAAAAAAATGTTTCACACCCATTTTTCAATTTAAACTTGATTTAATTTTTTTCTACAAAGTTTTTCGTTTGCAATGTTATTTACTTTAATATCTTAGATCATTAGATCATTTCTAAAATCAGACAATTTTTCATTTCAAATTAAAGTTTAAAACATAGATTTCTAAAAAGTTTAAAAAGTGGAGTTAGCTTGTTTTGGCAGTAAGCTGATAAGACATGTATGCTTAATATAGATATTAGTTTTCTAAATTAGATTTCACTGAATGTTCCCTGCTTGTAGTCCATAAGTCACCATAGAGCTTTTGAACAATTTTTTTAATGTTAATATTCCATGGTTTATTCAGAAACTAGGTTGCATATTTTTTATATTAACACATAGAAGAAGTGATTCAATATATGTATGTTTATCACTTGTTAAATATCTTGTTATGTTTTATTTTAATAGGGAACAATAGATTTTTACAAGTAAATCCTTAATAAATTATGCATCCTAAATGATCAAAATATTGTTTAGTTGAAAAAGAACACAATAAAAATATGTATAACTATAGATTATTCATAATTATGTACAAATAAATCATAATATAGTTAAGATACTTTTCAGTAAATTTTCTTCTAGTGATTCTTTATTCAAAATTTGAATCACCTTGACCATCACGATTTTAATGTTTCACATATTTTAAACCGTACATCACCTCTCTCTTAGTTCTAGTAACCCATTTTTCTAACTTTGCTAAGTTAACAAACATCTTCCACTTTCTCTACACAATATCCACATAATCAAATTTCAGAAATAAAATCCTCCATACTTACATGTAAATATTAAGTTCTGGGAAACTGAAAGTCAGTACTCCACATGTGCCCGAATTATTTGGGACTATATTACCAAAGAATATAGACGCTTAATATTACTAACCAGACTGTTTAATTATCTACGGTACGTTAAGATAGGCTTTAAAATAAATTTGACTATGATATACTAGGGTTAATAATACGAAAAAGAAACGAAACAGTATTATTGCAAAGGAAACAAAACAGGATTTATAAAATGTTCCAGAACATGTTATCAGCAAAAAGCATGGTTAACTAGATTTTCATAAAAACTACCGGCTTAAAAAAAGTTAAAACTACTTACTTATTATATGCCATTGTGGGCTGTAACATAAATTAAATACAAGTCATGAACTGAAAATATCTTTTTAGTAAATATATTTCATGTATTTACCCTAGTTTTGTATTCTTATAAAGAAAGCTTTTTGTTGTATCTACACACAGAACCGCAAGCAAGGCGCAAAACAAACACTTTTTGAAACGAAGTATGACGTTGACATGACATTTACTAACGCGTTCCGGAACTCTTTCACTAGTAAGTTCCAAAATTATTTTGGATCAACATAATAATAAGAAAATAAATTTCGATCGTATAGATCAGTGATACTCAACCTGCGGCCCGCGGGCCGCATGCGGCCCTCGTGCGTTTTTTATGCGGCCCGAAGGCTAAATAAGTATTTTTGACTTTATTTTCATATGTATTTATAAAATCCTAAAATTTAAAAAATACGATTATATTAGATATTTTTGTAATTCATTATAAAAATATTACTAAAAATTCCCTAATCAACAATGTCTAATTTATAATATAAAAAAGGTCCGCGCCTGTGGTGTTCAACCGGGGATTTCCCGAAGTTGACGTTGTTATGCTATGTTTGCATTTCCAATTCATGTCGATTTGGAACCAGTTCAATTATTATATGAACATATCAATTTTATTCAGCGCTTACGTTTACACACGTATCGTCTTTTTCAAATTTTGTCAAGTGAAGTGTGTTTCTTTTACTTATAGTAATTTTAAATAATTGATTTGCCGGGAATTTAAAACAGTGACAATGGCTGGCGTGTCCTCAAAATCAAAACGTAAAATATCTGACGAATACAGACTATTTCAAGACAATTGGGAAGATGAATATTTTGTTGTTCCTAACAAACACGGTTCAGCAACTTATTTGATTTCTCGAGAGAGTGTTTATTAAAGAAGTATAATATTATGAGACACTATAATACAAAACACAAGATGTTTAGCGATAGTTTCCCAGTCGGCTCTGCATTGCGAAGAGGAAAACTATGCGTCTTGAGAAGGTCGTTACAGTAGCAGCAAAATATAAAGGCAGTTTCAATGTCCCAAGATATATCAGTAACAAGAGCGTCCTCCAAATTTGCTATTTATTAGGAAAACATATGAAGCCATTTACTGACGCTGAGATTGTAAAAAAATGCTCTATAAATGCTTCAAATATTCTGTTTGAGAAGTTCAGCAATAAAACTCGGATAATATCACAAATCAGACAACTACAACTCTCAGATTCCACGTGCGTCAGGCGAATTGAAGATATTTCGAAACATATTTTTAATCATATCATCGACGACTTGAAGAATTGTAAATATTGGAGTTTAGCATTTGATTCAAACACTGATGTTTCATCAACTTCACAATGTTCCCTTTTTGTAGGGTACTGTACTGAAGATTATGGAATTTGGAATTCGTGAAGATTTTCTCAAATTTCATCCGATGAAAGGTCATACCAAAGGAAGTGATTACATTAATGTTATTTGTACGTTATTGGAAAAAATTTTGTACGTTAAAAAGTTGATGTCCGTCTATGACAAAAATAATATTGAGTATATTTCTCTTAAAAAAAAAAAATATGATATACATAATTTATCATAGTCGTAACTATGATTGTTTTAAATTGGAAAGTACAGACATCATGTGACATCTCATTTAAACGCTTTTGAAATACTGGTTACAACAATGTATCATACTTAGGCAAAGTTTTGGTCAGATGCTTTTTAAATGCATTCATTTTTTTCGAATCAGGAGAAAACTAATGAGTATTTTTGAAAAATTTAAACGCCGAATGAAAGATCACATTATTATATGCCGCCTCTTAAATATGAATGAAATTTAACTTTCATTTTTATTAGGAGGGTATGCGCAAAATCTTGATCCAATGCTATTTAAGTGCATTTTTTATCAAATCCTGAGAAAACTAATTAATATTTTTGAAAACTTTAAATGCAGAATAAAATATTTCATTATTACCCAGAGCCTAAATTCCCTTAGAATAAATAAAAAATTTCTTTTAAATGAAATATTTGAAATTAAAAATCACAATAAATTTTCTCTGTCCTTTCACCTCTGTAACGTATTAAAATAGACATAGAAATTTTCAGGGACTTTCTGCCCTCGATAATAATGTAATCTTTCACTCTGCGTTTAAATTTTTCAAAAATACTTATTAGTTTTCTCAGAATTCCAAAAAACCAATGAATTTTTATCCTGGCTCGCTTTTTTATCCTGGCTTGAATTTCATTTTCAGCTGGAAATGCAATACATATAATATAAACTTTTCTGCAATTGTATTAAATTTTCATTTGGTTATTAGCCATATTATCTGTAACTTTTCGTTTTGTTTTTGACATTTTTACACAGCCTGACATTTTTTTTTATTTTACTGATTATGCCGCCCCCCTTGTTATGCCGCCTGTTGCGACTACCTCACCGTATCATAGCACGGCACGGCCCTCCACCCCTGTAACTTAATAAAATAAACATTATAGAAGTTTTTAGGGAGTTTTGGCCATCGGTAATACCTATTGTAATATTTTATTCTGCGTTTAAATTTTTCCAAAATTCTTATTAGTTTTCCAAGGATTAAAAAATTAATGCATTTAAAAAGCATTTGACCGAAATTTTGCGCAAGTATCATACATTTTTGAAATCAGTATTTTGAAAATAATATATATATATATATATATATATATATATATATATATATATATATATATATATATATATATATATAATATATATATATATATATATATATATATATATATATATATATATTATATATATTATATATATATATATATATATATATATATATATATATATATATATATATATATATATATATATATATAAGATTGCGGCCCGCAAGCTGTGGCAATAGCTACTATGCGGCCCAGGGAAAAAAAAGGTTGAGTATCGCTGGTATAGATTATGTTTGTCTCTTAAGTCTTGAATTGAAAAATTGACGACGGATTCCGATTAAGTACTTAAAATTGTCAAAACGAAAATATTCACCTCTGGTTTTGAGAAAATTGATAAAAACCGTATAACTTTCCAATGATGATAAATACAATTGTTTTGGTAAAACGTTTTGGTTACGTTCCAGTCGTTAAATTTTTCTACTTCCAGTGTCAAGTTTTATTGACTTCTGGTGACAATTTTTGTTGACTTTCCGCCTTTTGCCGAAGATTGTCAGCACGCGATGGCCATGTTTTAGATGGAAACATAGACTCGAATTGAGAAATTTGTGACAAGCTACAACAGAACTGTAATTTAAATTTTTAGAGATTAATAATTTAGTACATTTCAAATAATTTAATTTATTCTTCAACGAAATAGTATCTAGTCCAGAAGATTTAGGAGATATGTAGGAAAAATACATCGCAGATCTGTTTGATGACGAGAGAACAGAACCACAAATAACTATAGCACAAGAAACAATACTTGATATATTAACATCGGAAGTTACAAAACAATCAATACGGCAAAGCCACGAAAAGCCTCAGGCCCAGATGAAATATACGTAGAGATGATAAAGCTTATCAATGAAGAAAATCTTCAGACGTTAACACATTCGCGACCAACCGTCACACATGTGTGACGGTGAAAATGCAAATGAAAATGTGGTACAAGAAAATGATGAGGCGGACTGGCTTGATGTAGAGGAAAATATTGAGATACATCAGTTTACTGAACAAGAAAATATAAAAGTAGAGATTTCTGTTGATGCAACACCTATTCAATATTTTTCATTACTATTTGATGAAGAGCTTTTGATAAAAATCATAGAGTGGACAAATCACAGAGCTGCTTCACGCGAAGAAAACCCTACTTTAAAAAGACATTCCTTTTTAAGACGCTGGATGGATATAAATATTGACGACTTAAAAAAATTTTGGGTCTCTGCATATTAATGGGAAACATTAAACTCCCCTCCTTACGTTTATACTGGAGCACAGATCCACTATATCACTTTTCAATATTTGGAAAAACTATGCCCGGATCAAAGTTTGAAGCTATTCTTCAAAATATTTGTTTTTACAAGCCGGAAGAAGTAGAAGTTCAAGATCGACTTTACAAAATTAAAAACGTTACGAGTCATATAAATAATATCTCTAAAGTTCACTATCCAGGAGAGAAAAAAAAACTAGTAAATATGGAATAAAAATTTATGAGGTTACTAGCTCTGATGGATTTTTACTAAATTTCCTAATCTACAGCGACAAGGGGACAGTAGTAAATGAAAATGGGCATGCGTTTGAAGTAGTTCACAGACTAGTTACTGAATATTTAGAGAAGGGGCACACTATCTACATGGACAATTATTACAACAGTTATGAGCTTGCCAAATTTTTACATGAAAAGAAGACCTACGTTTGTGGAACATTAAGAAAAATTAGAAAAATGGTTGAAGTTGAAAAGTTGGTTCCGAAATGGTTGAAGTTGAAAATCGTAAAAGTTGAAGCCTGTAATGATTCGTGACTACAATTCCTTTATGTCGGAAATTGACAGAATTAACCAGATGATTTCATATATATGGCACACCACGAAAAACTCTGAGATGGTACATGAAAGTTTTCTTTCACTTACTAGATATTTGCATGTGGAATGGCAACTGGTTGTTGAATAAAAATAGGAACACGTCAAAGAAAACAAGAATGTCGTACCTTCAGTTTAGAAAGGAAGTGATCAAACATTTACTGGGACAAACAGAACGGCCAAGAAGAAAAAAAGTTGTTGCGGCATACAACTTGAAAAAAGAAAATAAGCGGAAAAGATGTCGACAGTGCAGTGCAACCAAGAAAAGGGCTGTCACCTGGTACACATGCCAAGAATGTAAGGGGAGTGATAAACAGCCCATTGGGTTATGTATTACACCCTGTTTTGCTGAGTGGCACAGAAAAGACAATTAAACTTATACAATATGTTTTATTTTTTATTGGAAGTAATTTTTAGTTTTGTTAATATTGAATAAATAAATGATTTTTTATAAGTAGTAGCTAAAAATGTTTATGTCACATATTTGTGACACTTGGGTTATGTTCAAATTTTTATTACTATAGACCAGTGTCACATATGTGTGACATTATCCAAAACATTTTTTTTATAATCCTTGTTCAATTATAATACTCCTCAAAAAAATGGTGGATTTGGCATGTTTCTTT